TTTAACAGAGATCACTTTTCAGTTAAATTTAAACACCTAAGAATAATTGTGTGTTAATTACAGAGTTCAACCAATAGTATTAAGTAGAACAAAAAAAAATACTAAAAGGGATAAAGTATTAAGTTGTTCATCGACTGTCAGGACAAGAGCTGATCAAGTCACTGTTTCTCATAATGTCCATTTCACTTCAACAGGTTTCCTTTTTGGTGCTCGGTTAGTTGTCACTGCTACTGGCTTTTAATAGACCTTGAGGACGCAACTTTTCAGTTGCAGACAAGCGCTGTTGTTTTAAAAATCACTGCAGGTGCTGCAAAGGTCAAGCGGCTGGGGTAGCAAGCTCAAGTGGAGGCACCTCAGCCTGGGGTGTGGCGGAACAGGCAAAATTTCCTAGAAGGCACCAGCCATGTGGACTGAAGCCAGTGGGGAGTTGGGTAATCATGGCAACGCAATCCAGATTGTCGATGAATTGTCCCTGCTTCCTGCAATGTTGCAAACCAATAGGGGAAATCCAGGGACAGTTGTAACAGCTACCACGGGATCCTAACAGAATTGTACCACTGGAGAAGGTGTCTATCAGTTAATACGGCATGAAGTATTGTGCTCCAGGAAAAATACATACGAAGCCCTTGATTTTCTTGGTTGAGGCACTTTTGGCCAGGTAGTTAAATGCTGGAAAAGAGGGACAAATGAAATTGTAGAAATCAAAATTTTGAAGAATCACCCTTCTGATGCCCATCAAGGTCAAACAGAAGTGAGCATTTTAGCAAGGCTCAGTACTGAAAATTCTGATGAATATAACTCTACGAGATTACGAATGGTTTCAGCACCATAATCATACTTGTTCAGTCTTTGAGACGCTGGAACAAAACTTGTATGACTTTCTGAAACAAAATAAATTCAATCCTAAAAATGATTCAGCCCATTCAACCAAAGTGGCCACTGCACTGAAAAAAATTGAAAAGTCTTGGTTTAATTCACGCTAACCTCAAAAGAGAACATTACATGGATGGATCCTGTTTAGCTGCCAAATAGGGTTAAAGTAATAGATTTTGGGTCAGCCAGTCAGGTATCAAAGACCGTTTGTTCAACATTATCTATAATCTCAGTACTACAGTGATTTACCTTTGGAGTCTGGCATTGTAGTGTAGCCAGTAAAGCTGCCTCCTGCGACACCAGCATCCCATACGGGCACTGGTTCTTGTTCTGGCTGCCCCACTTCCAATCCAGCTCCCTGCTAATGGACTGAGAAAAGCAATGGACGATGGGCCAAGTGTTTGGATCCATGCCACCTATATGGGAGACCCAGATGAAGCTCCCAGCCCCTGATTTCAGCCTGGTCCAGTGCTGGACATTATGGCCATCTGGGCAGTGAATCAGCAGCTGGAAGATCTCTCCGTTGCTCCCTGTCTATAAATCTGCTTTTTAAAAAAGAAATAAATCTTTAAAAGAAAATAATATTGTACGACTATAGTTTTAATGATCTATAATTTAAAATTTACTGTATATGGGTGAAATGGCCATTTTTCCATTCAATTATTGTTTATAGTCATTGTCTATATTCCCACTAAACTAGGGTCTTGTTGCTTCTTAGTTGTTAAACTTTTTATTTGGTGAAGTATTAAGCCTTTTTTACTGTAATGTAAATTTAAGATATGTTATCTCAAAAACTAAAAAGAAAGAAAGGGAGAAGGAGGGAGGATGGGAGGGAGAGAGGGGGATGAAGGAGGGAGGAGGGAGGGAATATCATTATGATCTTAGAACTGTATCTACAAATCACACCGAACCTGTTAAAAACTAATTAAGATTAAAATTTAAAAAGAATTCACATTCTTTGATTTGGTGCAGCAGTTAAGATGCCAGCTGGGACACTACATCCCATATAAGAGTGCCCAGCTACAGTCCTGGCTTCTCCGCTTCTGATCCAGCTTCCTGCTAATGCACACCCTGCAGAGGCTGGCTCAAGTACTTGGGTCCCTGCCAGATTGGCTCAGGGCTCTTGACTTCTGCCTGAACAGACTTTTGTGAGCATCTGAAGAGTGAACAAGCAGATGGCAGTTCTCTCTCCCCACCCTCCCCACTCTCCCTCTCTTTCAAATGTTTTTCTTTAAGTTTTTAACCTGACAAACGTCACCTCATACAGGTCAAGGCCAACATCAACAGTGGTAACTCACATTGATGGCACACACTCTTGACCTGGTATGATGAAAATCACAATTTGCTTCTGTGGTCTTCTTCCCAAGAACACACAGCCCCCAGTCTAGTCACGAGAAAATTCTAGAAAAATCTCAGTTGAGGGGCCTTCTGTGAAAATCCTGACCTCTACTCTTCTTCTTTTTTTAAAAAAAGATTTATTTTATTTATTTGAAAGATAGAGTTACAGAGAGAGGTAAAGACAGAGAGAAAGGTCTTCCATCCGCTGGTTCACTCCCCAGATGGCTGCAATGACCCGGGCTGTGCCAATCCGAAGGCAGGAGCCAGGAGCTTCTTCCGGGTCTCCCACGCAGGTGCAGGGGCCCAAGGAGTTAGGCCATCCTCTACTGCTATCCCAGGCCATAGGAGAGAGCTGGATCAGAAGAGGAGCAGCCGGGACTAGAACCGGCACCCATATGGGATGCCGGCGCTTCAGGCCAGGGTATTAATCCGCTGCGCCACAGAGCCAGCCCCCTGACCTCTACTCTTCAAAACTGTCACAGCCACCAAAGGCAAGGAAAGTCTGAGAAATTGTCACAGTCAAGAAAAGCCTAAGGAGACAACTAAATTAAATATGGGATCAGAAATATGGGGACAGAAAAAGGATTTTAGGTAAAAGTGAAGGAAATCTAAATAAAGCATGGATTTTGGTTAGTAATAACATGTATGTCAATATTGGTTCTTTAATTGTGACAAATGTACCATATAATGCAAGGTGTTAATAATAGGAGAAACTGGGCAGGGACTGTATGGGAATTCTGTGCTATCCCGTCAACTTCTCTGTAGATTTTCTGTGTAATAATTCCATATTTTACATATTGTATTATTTTATATATTATTTCTACATAAGAATATTATATACATATACATATATCAAACTTCATTGTAGTTTTTACTATTTTTGCCATTTCAGGATTAGGAAAGCTGAGGCTCTCAAAAACTGGGTGACCTGCTAGGGTCACAAGATTTAGGGGCCCAGTCTTGGAAATCAGATCTGCTGGACTCCAGATTCCATGGTTTTCTTTTCCCTTGGGTTACCAATAGTTCAGGATTTCTTATGTAACTATGACAAAAATAAAGGGGGTAGAGGAATTCAAATAGCAGGAAATGGGGCAATGTGTCACGTCAAGTTCCAAACGGAATTGCAGAGGGCTTAAAAGAAAAATGAATCCTCAGCTCCAAATAGGTAAGGAGGCACTGCCCGCCCGCTCTGGGCGCCTCTGGATTCTGCCCCAGTCACCACCTGCGCTGGGGTGCAGTCCCCAACTCATACCTGCTAGGAGTCACCAGTTCGGCCTCTGCCCAGGGTGGGGTGCCCCAGTGGGCTCAGGGAAGGCGCCCAGGGTCCCACCGGGTCCCACCGAGAGGCTGCCCCCTCCGCCTCGCCCCGGCCCACCATGACAAGCGGGCCACCTTCCTCTCCTCCAGCCTGGCTGAAGCTCCCTATGTCCTCCCGGAGCCAAAGCTGTGCACACGGTGCGCTTTATTGAAATCGCTGTGCTCTGGGATTGCTAGGTACTTGCGTCTTCCCTGGGTAGCCGGCGACAGCCTTCTGGTTTGTGCACCTTTTCCTTTTAAAATTAAAACCCAATCCTTTGCAATCGCTCTCTCTCCCGCCGTGCCCTTCCCCACAGTCGCCAGGGCAGGGGACGCACCTGCTGGAGTCCAGGCTACCACTGGCATTTCTTGGGAACGTTGAGCGGGGTGTGCTGGGGCCCCTCTCTGCCTGGGTGGGGCACCTCCTAGCCTGCACAGCCGAGCTCTGCCCTAGCTGTGCTTTGGGCGGCCTTCAGCCCTTCCTCTGCACCCCACATCACCGGGTTTCTAACGTGGATGCAGGTGTAACCCGTGTGCCTCCAGCACACACCCGCCAAGGCCACGCAGCAGCTTTCTCAGTTGGCGACTTGGTTAGCCGTGGGAAGGACTTCATCTCACCGGGCCTCTGTCTTTCATCTGTGAAATGATGCCCAAGGTGCATTCTTCTGAGGTCTGCATGGAGGCTTCAAGGGGGTGCGGGGCGGTGGGGGGAGGGAGTATTTCTTAAGTCCTCCTCAGGGAAAAATGTCTAGGGAAAACTCAACAGGTGGCATGTAAGATATGTTTGAAGTAAACTTCGAATAACAATCTAATGGGGTTGGTGCTGTGGTGCAGAGGGTGAAGCTGCTGCCTGCGAGCCAGCATCCCTCAGGGGCACGAGCTGGGGTCCCTGCTGCTCCACTTCCCATCCAGCTCCCTGTCGATGCACGTGGGAAGGCAGGGGAGGATGGCTCACCTGAGAGACCCAGATGAAGCTCCTGGCTCCTGGCTTGGGGCTATTTGGGGAGTGAACCAGTGGATGGAAGATTCTTTCTTTCTCTCCCTCTCACCCGCCGCTTTGCCTCTCACATAAATAAATAAATCTTAAAAGGGAAAAAAGTGTATTTAAATAAATAAGTAACCATCTATAGGAAGATAAGATTTAAATACACAGGTAGTCCCTCTTCTTGGAGAGAAGTATCGTGTACAAAGATGTCCATTTTCCTTCATTAGTCTATACATTTAACGCAGTCAATGCCAAAAGAAAGCAACTGTGCAGGGCAAGGCAGAGGGGGAGTAGGAGCCTCAGGTAGACTCTGAAATTCAGACCAAAAATAGAATGGAAGCTATTAGAATACATTCCACAGCCCTAGCTAAACTGGTCTTGTACTGTCACAGCAATTAATAGCCACATGAATGGGAAGTAAAGAGGAGAACTGAAGTAGCCCCAGACACTCCGAACTTTGGTTTATATGGAGGTGGCTTTGCAACACAGTGGGGGAAAGATGGCTTACTCAAGAAAAGTGTGGGGATAACTGGCCAGGACGTCCACAGCAAACTGTACCCCCTCCTCGGTTCTTTATTCCGCATTTGGCTTTTGAACCACAAGACCTAGAAAAAAACACAAGAGATTTTTTTAAATATATTTTAATATGAAGGACTTTTGTAAGCATAACACTATACCCAGAAGACATAACATATGGACAATAAAATGTGGACAAAATCTGACAACACGAAACGTAAAATGTCTTCATGACAAAAATACCATAAGCCAAGTCAAACAGGAAGCAATAAAGAAGGAAAAATTTTGTAAAAATGTGACAAAACTGATGTCCATCATAAAAGTAAGTAGTTTTGAACAAATCAATGGGGGTGGGGGAGGAAGCCCAAAATCTCAGTAGAAAATAATTAGTGAAAAACATCATTACTGGAAAAACAAGGCAACCGACTTTTAATCATGTGAAAGATACTCAATTTCACACATATTAAAGCAAATACAAGTTGAACTCACAATGAGATTTTATTTTTTGCCTATTAGATTGACAGAGCAATAAATCTGAAAATGCATTGATTAAGGAAACATACAGTCTAATGCAGTGCTGTTAGGAATTCCAAAAATTCAATCTCTTTGAATGGTGACCTTGCATTATCTATCAGAATTGTAAATTATAGATAGTATATTTCAGGATGTTCACTACCATACTATTCATAGTAGCAAAAGAAAAAATCCTAATGTGCAATAGGAAACTGATTATGTAAATTCTAATACATGCATAAAGTGAAATATAATATAGCCATTAAGAAAAATAAAGCAGACCTATATGCACTAATATGGAACACTCTCCAAAATGTTAAATGAAAAACAAAAAATGTAGAATGGTGTGATTTTCTCTAATTCACATTTTTGAAAATTTCTTCAAAGTGGAGTATATAATCACATTTTATATATGCAGATTGGCATTTTTCAAGTTAGGTGGCAACCAACTGGTAGGCTACAAAATTGATTTAGTTGATTGCAACTAACATTCTTTAATGCTAGCCATTTTAAATTTTTTTTTATTAATTTTATTTATTTTCAAGTGTTCTATTTAAACATTGATTACATCATTTGATTTCAATTTTATCATGTTTTTCTTTGTCATGTGTAGCAAAGGTAACTTGTGCAACTTTTATTACAGTCATGTAATTTGCATAGTGAGTTGTCGTGGAAGTATGTTTCTTATTCTGAGTTATAGACAAAAAAGTGTGGAAAACACTGTTATTGATTATCTTTTGAAGGGAAACACCAAATTATGCATTGGACATTAGGGACTGAATTAGTAGACCAAGTAGATGTTAGGGACTGAAATAGGGGATCTGTGGCATCAGAAGTGGGAAGGAGATTGCCCTTGCCCACATATCTGTATCTTATTTCTATTTCTATTCCAAATTTTTTTGAGAGGCCAGCATGGCATATCAGGTAAAGCTGCAATATGAGCACCGCTTCTGATCCAGCTCCCTACTAATGGCCTAGGAAAAGCAGTGGAGATGGCCCAAGTGTTTAGGCTCCTGCCACCCATGTGGGAGACCCGATGAAGCTTGTGGTTCCTGGCTTCAGCCTAGCCCATCCCTAGTTGTTGCAGCCATCTAGGGAGTGAATAAGCCAAGGGGAGACCTCTTTCTCCCTCTCTGTAACTCTGGCTTTCAAATAAAGTCTTAAGAAAAAAATGTTTTAAAAAATTGGGATAAAAGCAAAACACACTTTAAAAATTACAACAAGCCAGCATTGTAGCACAGTGGGTTAAGCTACCTCTTGCAATGCCAACATCCCACTTCAGTGGAAGCAGGGCAGAGTGACAGGGACAGAAGGAGGGGGAGGGGGAGAGAAAGAGAGAGAGCTTCCATCTGCTAGTTCACTCCCCCGATGCTCACAACAGCCAGAACTAGGCCAGGCCAAAGCCAGGAGCCTAGAACTCCATCCTGGTCTTCCACAAGGGTGACAGGAGCCCAAGGACTCGGGCTATCACCCATGCCTTCCCAGGTGCATTAACAGGGAGCTGGATCAGAAGTGGAGCACCTGAGACTCGAACAAGCTCTCCAAAATAGGATGCTGATGTCACAAAGGACAGCTTAACCCATTGTGCCTCAACGTCCTCTCCTACTCTGTTTTTTGACCAATGGTTTTACCACTGATTCTGGAGATATTTTTCTCCATGTTTTCTGTGCATGTATTTTACTCATAATTATGCCAACATTGATATACTCTCTGGAAAGCAAGTCTTTTCAGTCATGAACTCCACTGAGTTGATTAAATCCTTAGTTTTATATATTGCCACTACTAAACCATTTTATTTTCTACATCTGTTTCCTTTTAACAAAATCCATTTTAATCAGAATTCCTTTCCACATAACTTTTTCAAGAGATGGTCAATTCATTGGTCAAGTTTTGACCTTCTCAAGTAATGCTAGTTATTGTCGTTGCCATTAGGAGGCCACCAGTTTTCTTGGATCCAATTTTACATATCTAAATTGTAGCACGTGGATCCCTACCAGTAGCCATGTGTGGCTGTAGCTGCTGTCAGTTCTGTTTTGTGTTGATTATTTCAACTACAGACATTCATTAAGGTTTGGCTAACATGTTTTCTAGCTAATCCATGAGAAAATTGTTAACATTCTTCCTGAGACAGTCCAAGCTCATTCCGTGGCAAAGTGTCCTGTCAGATTTTGAACCCAATTCTTTAGTGTCCTTCTGAACACCTGGAAGGATGTATATTATTCCTCCAACTCACTGAAAAAGCAAAGACAAACTGCTGATCTTGCAGTAGTATCACAGCTCTCAAACTGATTGATGGCGTCAAAAAGTATTGTTTGACATCTGACAAAGTACCATTCATTACCGTGGAGTCAAAACGGTAGCATCAAAACATCAGAGCAGTCACTGGGCTGAAGGCTTGAGTTGTACAGATGCAAAGACCATCTCCTTTCCTGCAAAACATGTACTGTCTTACGGAAAACCCGAAGATCTCCAAAATGATAATAACATAGTAAATAAATTCTTTTTTTTTTCTTTGACAGGCAGAGTGGACAGTGAGAGAGAGAGACAGAGAGAAAGGTCTTTCTTTGCTGCTGGTTCACCCTCCAATGGCCGCCGCGGCCGGCGCGCTGCGGCCAGCGCACCGCGCTGATCTGATGGCAGGAGCTAGGAGCCAGGTGCTTTTCATGGTGATATACTGCAAACATCCTAAAGGAATTTCCTGTGCTTTTGACCTCAAGAATAGGAATGGATTTTTCTTTTTTTTAAAATTTTATTTAAGGCATACAAATTTCATGCATTTCATATATACAGATTTATGAACACAGTGATTCTTTTCACCATAAACTCCCTCCTACCCATACGCCCAGCCTTCTTCCTCCTCTCTCCTAATGAATGAATTTTTCACAGGGAGCTGATGGAGTTGGAAGCCCGGAGGTCTGTCCTTCTGAGAACTTGGCTTTGACTATTGAGACCAGATGTGCTGGAGTAGGGGTGGATAATCACAGTGGCAATGGGCTTTGAAGCCGGCATCCAGAAAGCACTGGGTAGGCAATTAAAGTTACGTTTCCTTTCATCCATGTCTTCTTTGGCCCATTCTTTTCTCCTCCCCTGGGAACCTAGATCTAAAACCTGATCTCCCAGAAATTCTGCTCCTAGTTTTTCTTACTGTCCCCTTTCATGGCCTGCATGCATCCTTCCACCCTGCCTCCATGGGGTTTAAGAACAGCTGTGGCGTGCCAGGGACGTAACAGTGGTTCAGGGAGCTGAGCTCCTGAGAGAAGGAGCAGCCACGAGAGGAGGCTGCTGCTCCGCCCTGCTGCAGGGACTGCGGTGTGCCCGGCATGAAAACCTGATTTAAATTCCACATTGTTCTTCCTTCTTCTAGGGGAGCTCTGGTTGGCTTGACACTTAAGCTATCTTTTTTTTTTAAATAATGAATTCATGTCCTTGGGAAATACTAATGCTAATCACAGCATTAATTCCAGGGTTTATTTAAATGCATAGTTTTGGGCTTTGGTCAAAATGTGCTTTTGTCTGCAACGTTCTATTAATTTTCTTCATTGGACAGAATGTTTGACAAGATAGGAATTGTTTTAGCAGCTAGTTCCTGTCCAGAAACAGTCACACTGAAACGCCCGCCGCTGAGGCTTGCAGACCCACCCAGCCTCTGGCTTGCTCCATCAGAACTGTGTTTGCCGCCGGCGGGCGCCACGGCTCACTTGGCTAATCCTCTGCCTGCGGCACTGGCACCCCGGGTTCTAGCCCTGGTTGGGGCGCCGGATTCTGCCCCAGTTGCTCCCCTTCCAGTCCAGCTCTCTGCTGTGGCCCGGGAATGCAGTGGAGGATGGCCCAGGTGCTTGGGCCCTGTACCCGCATGGGAGACCAGGAGGAAGCTCCTGGCTCCTGGCTTCAGATAGGCACAGCGCGCCAGCCGTAGCGGTGACCTGACCCAAGGCCACACAATCAGGTATAAGGGAGCGAAGGAGCCTCAGACACCCAATGTTCTCACACTCAGCATCTCCCCCTGCCCTGGCCCCACCCTGACCACACCTGAGGATGGAAGGCTGAGGAGCAGACAAGGCTCTCTGCGAGGAGCTGACTGCGGGCTGTGGGCTAGAGTTACTGCTTTGAAATGCAGTATTATTGGATTGATTTTAAATAGATGTTTTGCTTCTCTTTAATAATAAACTGTGGGCTCTGAAGGGAGCCAAAAGAGATCAAAAGGAGAAAAGAGAACAAAAAAAAAAAAAACAAGAAAAACAACCCCCCCAAAAGTCTTCTTGGATTATTGCTCTAAAAGGATCTTTCAAATTCTGTTTAGAATTTGCTAAGCCTCTGATAGCGCTATTGTGATAAATTGATGAATGTCTATTTATACCAAAACATAAAACATATGGATGGTTATTTAGAGGACAAATGCATTTTGACAGATATCTAATTTCATTCCACTGATAGGATGTATTTTGTCAGACTCTTCATTTCACTGAAGACACGATCATTTTTGGCTTCCAGTTCCTTGCCATGGTAGAAATGCATTTGTCAGGGCCTCCAGCCCCAAGATGGGTTTAAAATATTGCCATCACACTCTGCTTAAAACCAAGGAAAATCGTAAATATCCCCTATTACCCACTTACACAAGAAATATTGCCAAGTAAATACTTTTGTGCACCCGACTGAGTAGCAGGGAGAATTATTCAAAAGTCTCCAGCATAGATTGTTGGCAAATACTAGGCACCCATGGCATTCTGAGTTACATTTGAGCATAAAGGCAATGGAAGTTCATTCCCTCGGGGCTTCATGGGCAGCAGGAGGAAGTCCCAGGCTATACTGGGAAAGTTCTACTCGCCCTTCCTGTTTTCAGTTCAAGAGTTACCTCTTCTAGGAAGCATGTTCTGAGTCATTCAGACCGACTAGACTCCTCACCTACGTTTCCACTGTACCCCTGCATACCGCCACTAGACCCTTTTATCACTCTGCATTTTGATTTTTCTGATGGTCTGGGAGACTACTACTAGGTAGTAGGAATTCCCTAAGTCTTTGTTGAATGAACAAATAGGTGAATGGTTAACTCTATTATAGTATTTATCAACTAAAAATGGTTATGTACCTCCCATTTTCCTCCACTAGCTCATGAGTTCCTTGAGTATGAGGATTAGCTTACTACTAAACCGTTTTCTCAGCCCTGAACACATTGCCTGGTATATAGCAAATACTCAACAAATATGTTGACTGCAAAGGTGGGTGGATGGATGTACAGATGATGTGGGTGGATGGATGTATAGGTGATGTGGGTGGATGGATGTGTAGGTGATGTGGGTGGATGGATGTACAGGTGATGTGGGTGGATGGATGTACAGATGATGTGGGTGGATGGATGTACAGATGATGTGGGTGGATGGATGTACAGATGATGTGGGTGGATGGATGTACAGATGATGTGGGTGGATGGATGTATAGGTGATGTGGGTGGATGGATGTATAGGTGATGTGGGTGGATGGATGTACAGATGATGTGGGTGGATGGATGTACAGATGATGTGGGTGGATGGATGTACAGGTGATGTGGGTGGATGGATGTACAGGTGATGTGGGTGGATGGATGTACAGATGATGTGGGTGGATGGATGTACAGGTGATGTGGGTGGATGGATGAGAGGATGAATGTTTGATGCTGCTGGGTGCCCTACTATTTCTCAGTTTTCCTAGATAATTCTATACCTGAAAGATTGCTTCTTCTTAGCCCATGGTCTTTTGAATTTAACTTTGAACCTCATTTTTCCTAGAAAATATCTGTTTTTAAAATTTGTTTCCTGAATACTTTAAGAACAAAAAGGGGGCCAGCGCCACGGCTCACTAGGCTAATCCTCTGCCTTGCGGCGCTGGCACACCGGGTTCTAGTCCCAGTCGGGGCGCCGGATTCTGTCTTGTTTGCCCCTCTTCCAGGCCAGCTCTCTGCTGTGGCCAGGGAGTGCAGTGGAGGATGGCCCAAGTGCTTGGGCCCTGCACCCCATGGGAGACCAGGAGAAGCACCTGGCTCCTGGCTTCGGATCAGCGCGGTGCGCCGGCCACAACACGCCGGCCGTGGCGGCCATTGGAGGGTGAACCAACGGCAAAAGAAAGACCTTTCTCTCTGTCTCCCTCTCTTACTGTCCACTCTGCCTGTCAAAAAAAAAAAAAAAATAGGGATCTCTTAAAAGAAATCAGGAGATGACAGTTTTATGTCTATTGTTGGCATCTATTAGTTGTGCTACAATATTAATTTTTCCATTCTCCTTGAATAATAAAACCCTGAATTTGAACTCAGCAGAAGGTACCTGGAAAAGCAACACTTCCCAGTCTTCCTTACAGAGAAATGCAATTGTAGGACTACATTCTGGCCAATGTGATTTAAGTGGAAGGGCCATGTATGAGTTCCTGAAGGTGTTCTTTGCCCTTCTTTCTTTCCTCTGCTAGAATACAGATATGATGGCTGGATCTCAGGCAGTCTGGTTAACTCATGAGTTGAAAGTCACTCACTGGGGAAGGCGTTTGGCACAGCAGTTTAGATGCCATTTAGGACATCTGCACCCCATATCAGAGTGTCCAGTTTGAGTTCCAGCTCCTCCATTTCTGATCCAGCTTCTTGCTAATGTGCACCCTGGGAGGCAACAGCTGATGGATCACGTACTTGGGTCCCTGCTACCCACATGGGAGACCTGGATTGAGGTCTGGGCTCCTGGCTTTGGCCTGGCCCAGCCCTGGCTGTGGAAGATCTTTAAGGGAGTGAACCAGTAGATGGAAGATTGATTTTTCTTTCAACCTCTGTCTTTCAAGTGAAATGAAGACTTTTTAAACAATTTTTTTAAAAGAAAGTCACATGCTGAGGGTGTCAGAATGGCAAGATAGCAACCTAAGCTCCTGATCATTTTCTGGGCTTCCTGATCAGTTCTGGAATCTCTCTCTCTACACTTCTTTTGCATGAGATATATTCTGGGTTTTTTGTCTCTTGCAGCCTACACAATCCTAACTGGCCACTGACTGGCCACAACATGAAGAATATCCAGAATTTGCTATCAAACTGAATTGAATTAAGCAGAACTGAACTGATAAATAGATGAAAGGTGAAACTTCATTGGAAACTCAAGGTAAGAGAGTTTGAAGCAGGTGACACATCCCTGGGAGGAGCCAGTCCCATACTCCTTCCCACTCTGCCCTGGGCAGGTTCTGCCTGATGCTCATTTCATTCTTAACCTATGGGAACAAAAGCAAGTATTAATGCTACTGTTTAAAGTGTCCCTTTTCTTTCCTCCAGCATAGTCCCAAACTGAAACTCCAGATCAACCAATAACCTCCCTAATAGGAGAAATTCCCCAGAGAGGACAGTTTTCACTTGGGGCTGAAAGTACCCACTCCCAGCCTATAACTATGAAATGTCTCGATTCAAATAGTCCAGGGCTCAATTTCCACCTCCATTTAGAGCGCTCTGACTGTGGTCATTTTTCTGATAATGTCTGGGAATTTCATGGCTTTTTAAGCAAGATGAGGTAGAATGGTTAGATTTACTGCGGGTGAAATGCTGGCAGAAGAAACTTCAATTTAGCAACTGTTATCACGGACTACTAATCGAGGACTCCTCGCAAGAGTGATGCCACTGAAAACAGTTATTACTCAATGTTAATAAAAAAATTATGGATCTAATAAAAGTTAATGGGGACATATCATGTGCCATAAAAACTACAGTCAAAGCAAAGAATGCTGGGTTGGGTGGGGGGGGAGCTTCCACTATAATTCTGCATTGTCTGGGAGCCAAAATTGGCCATGTCCATAACACTTCTGAAGTGCAAATGGTTATGCAAATCAAATTAAACTGTGGAATTCTTAGTAATAGGATCATCTCCTTTGTAAAAATAGAAAGCAGCAAATGAGATATGACCAAGCAAATCTCATTCTTCCGCTACAAGCAAGATCGTGGTCAACAGTCGACTACTTTTGGAAATATAGGCAAACTTCTTCCTTGGGCGCTCTATATGTGTTTTCTGCTGGGTCGAGAACTGGCTTCCTCTAGTGGGGCTAGCTAGCGGCTGTGGTTCCTAGGACTCTCCTATTCAGAGAGCATCCATAGTCCCTACTGAGAGATGGAAATCAGAGAAGCCATGCATCATCCTCACATCCCCTCTGCCACCATCCTAGTCAGGCCACCACCATCTTTTACCTGGGCTCAGGTGTAGCCTCCCGGCTTCCTTCTTTCCTCACCTATTCAAATCCATTTCCACGCAGCAACCACAGTGATCTCTGAAATTTACAAACACAATTGTATCATCCTTCCATTTAAAATCCTTCAGAGGCTGCCCTTGGCTCTTAGGAGAAAAACAAAAATGTTTATCTGGGCTCACAAAGCTTTCTGCATTTCATATCCTACACATTTCTCAGGCTCATCCTGAGCCCCTCCTGCCCTGGCCCCCTGCACCCAGCCGGCCGTGTAGATGAGAGCGCACACTACACAATGTCATGTCCAGGAGTCTGTACTCGCTGCCTAAACCTCGCCCTCTGCCTGCCCAGACTGCTCCAATTCATCCCTCATTCTATTTCCTCAGGAAGGGATTCCTGTGCCCCCAGATTAGCTTAATGGCTGCTGATGCGTGCTCAGAAGGCTACCTCTGCCAGCTCCTTGTATGAGATTAAGTCTGCCATTAATTACCTGCTCCACGTCTGTCTGCCCACTAGACTTTAAGTCTCTTGAAAATGGGCTCCAGCCCTGTCTTGTTCACCACTTTCCCAGCTCCTCGAACACTGCCTAGAAACTTTACTAAGAATGCTCTGATTATAAAATGAGGTGACAGAGATGAAAACACAGGCCCCAACAAAGATTTCAAACTCAAATTGGGAGAGCAACCCCAGGGGAAGACTGTGCATAGCATAGCCTCTGTGTGGAGACAGAGAAACATGGGTCTCTCTTCAGCAACCTTGAATTGCCTCTCAAGGTCAAAAATGAATCTCTCCCTCTCATAGCCTTTTTCAAAAGAGCCATCAGAATATTGGAGTTGAAAACCTTCATTCTGAAACCTTTGAGTGAAGATTGGCTCAAGCAACAATTACCAACAGGATGCTAACTCTAAGAGGAAACATGGATGCTTGCATGGACTTAAATTACTTATTAGTTGCAGAGGATATTAAAAAAAAAAAGAAGAAGAAAGCTATACAGTGGAGACCCTGAACAGCACCTTGACCAGTTGATAAAAATTAAGAAGGGGCAGACTGGGGTCAGTGTTGTGGCGTAGCAGGTAAAGCCACTGCCTGCAATGCTGGCATCCCATATGGGTGTTCGTTCAAGTCCCAGCTGCTACACTTGTGATCCAGTTTCCTGCTAATGGCCTTGAAAAAGCAACAGAAGATGGACCAAGTGTGTGGGCCCCTGCCACCCATGTGGGACACCAGGATGGTGTTTCAGGTTCCTGTCTTTGGCCTGGCCCAATCCAGCTACTGTGGCCATTTGCAGAATGAACCAGTAGACCAAAGATCATTCTCTCTCTCTGTCACATCCTCTGTGTCACATCCTCTGTGTCTGTCACATGACTCTGTGTCACTTTGCCTTTCAAATCAAAACAGAGAGATGAATAATAAAGCAAACGGATTAAGTGGTAAAAACAGAGGCATCTGGTATACTTCGTATAATTCTTATTCATGTAAGTTTTCTCTAAGTTGAAATTATTTTTGGATTAAAAAGACATCTAAAGCGGCCGTCAGACTATAGCAAGCCTTCTCCCCCTTCGAGATAAGCTCCTCTGGCCAAGAAGCGAGGGGAATCTCTTTGTGCCCAACCCCGTGCGGTGCTAGAATCTTCCTCTGATGTGTTGCAGAGATAGAGAGAGCCGCCTCCCACACACGCGGCTCCCGTCTGCTGCCCCTTGGACTCTTGAGGATCTCCAGAAACCTTAACATGCAAAGCACCACCCCAGAGCAGCGGGCTGCTAAGACTGTCTGGTTGCTTAGCAACCCAGACTTCCACTCCATGAGATAAAGCAGAGGCCTTCCTTGCGGGCATTGGTGTGGATGCACCCCAGAGCGAAAGTCTCTGTTGGCTAGGGTCCAGGTGAGGCTCTGGCCAGAGCTGAGCATAGGTCATGAGCCACAGGAAGCAATCTCCACTTGTCCGAGCCAGGCTCCATGCCTGGGGCATCCGGGGATCCTGCCTGGGTGGACACAAAATGAACAGACCTACATCGACTCACATCAGTTCTCTGAGCCTCCATTTCCTCACATCCAGCGGAATTCCAGGGTGACCCCATAAGCTGGGAGCCAATCCTGTTCTGAATCCCAGGGGATGGGACCTGGCCATGAGGGTGTTTTGCATTGTGTTGTGTTGTGTTGTCTCAAGCTCTGCAAGTGATTCAAATATGCAGGCATAGCTGAGAAACAAGGAACTAAGTGGACTGTGCCATGCGTCACTGGGTTACTTCCAACATTCAAGTGTTGCTAAGGTGACCAGGAGGTGTCTTCCTCGTGAACACCTTTATAAAGGGCCTTGACCAGCAGAGTTGCCCTTCTGCCTTCGACCATGTGGCGACACAGTGTTCCTCTCCCCTGGACGATGCAGCCATCACCAGACACCTGACCTTGCCCGTGCCTGGATCTCAGACTTCCCAGCTTCGAGAATCATGGGAAAATAGATTTCTGCTGTTTTCAAATTACCCAGTCTGTGCTTTTCTGTTATAGCAGCACAAATGGACTAAAACAGCCGGTTAGGTCCTAGGAGTCTCTTAGAACTAAGTGTACTAGGCTGGCGCTGAGGCTCACTAGGCTAATCCTCCGCTTGCAGCTCCGGCACCCCGGGTTCTAGTCCCTGTCAGGGTGCCGGATTCTGTCCTGGTTGCCCCTCTTCCAGTCCAGCTCTCTGCTGTGGCCTGGGAAGGCAGTGGAGGATGGCCCAAGTCCTTGGGCCCTGCACCCGCGTGGGAGACCAGGAGGAAGCACCTGGCTCCTGGCTTCGGATAGGCGCAGTGCGCCAGCTGTAGCAGCCACTTGGGGGTGAACCAATGGAAGGAAGACCTTTCTCTCTGTCTCTCTCTCTCTCACTGTCTGGGTGCCCTTGAATGAAATGTGGAACTTTTCCCATGAAAAGAACTAAGTGTACTGGCAATACCTGGTGCCTATAAGGGTATCTTCAACCCTTGTCTCCTCTTCCCCTTTCCTCCCAGTGGAGCCCCTTGATCTCCAAACTTTAAGGTCTGCCTCATGATCAGTCATTTTTTTAAGATTTTTTTTTACTTGAAACGCAGTTACAGAGAAAGAGAAGGACACACACACACACACACACACGCACACACACACAGATATCTTCCAACTGCTAGTTCACTCTCCCAATGGCTGTATCAACCAGGGATGGGCCAGGCCAAAGCCAGGAGCCAGGAGCCAGGAGCTTCCTCTGAGTCTCCCACATGAGTGGCAGGGGCCCAGGAACCTGGAACATCTTCTGGTGCCTTCCCAGGTGCATTGGAAGTGGAGCAACTGGACTTGAACCATTGCTGTAACGTGGGATGCCTGCATCATAAAGCATCACAAAGCTGGCCCAGAATCTCATTTTTACAGCTTCTCAACCCTTATTTCTTGAGGCTCAGCTTCTCAAGAACTGTGAAGTAGCTGAGATTCTTCTAGTACTAGCCTGCCGCATTTTCATGGATGCTGGTAGAAGATATGAAATTCCTGGATCAGATTCAGGGGAGAGTTTGTTCGTTACAGCAACTGTAATAGCCACTGTATCATTTTCCCACCAGTTCCTCAAGTCCTAGTATCACCAGGGAAACAGAAAGAAGGCCAGATGGCACTTGCACTCACAGTGTTGTGTTACAGGATAGGAATCCTGGCTTAGTAATCCCACATCTTTTATAGTGGTCAATAAGCATGACTGCCCTGTGCCCTAGGAAGAGATATAATCACTGTATTCCAGGCTGTGCCCTCTACAGACATCCTGGAGAAGATAGTCCAGATCAAAGGGAAGTCAGTGCCTCACCTCCAGGGACGCGCAGCAGTGTGAGACCCATGAAGTGCCTCCCATCAGCACCTACCTCTAACGCCCGGTGCTAGAACATGTGACTTGCTCACTGGCTTAGGATCACAGTGTCTAGGGCTATCCTTGCCCTTGATTCCCTCAGGGCTGGTGTCCCATCTCTGAAACCCAATTCTGCAGCTGCGACTTGCTACCCTAATGGCCGACTACCTGCCATCACCCACCTGAACTGTCCATCAATATGATCTACCAGGTTATTTCTACCCAGACTCTTCTCAAGAAAATGGTAATCCAGAGTCCTGATCTACAGTGGGAGCTCCCCAAGCTACAACGGAACGTGAGAATGGGGCATAGCTGAGGCTGTGATGGGAAAAGGGGAGACTAGCCATCTAATCACACAGTCTAGCTCACCAGTTTCCAAACTCCAGTGTGTATCAGAATCACCGGGTGGGCTTGTTAAACCACAGATCCTGAGCTCTCAAATGTCTCAAATGTCTCTAATTGAGTAGGACAGAAGTGATACATGCAAATATGCATTTCTAACAAGTTCCAGGTGGTGCTGATACTGCTCTGGTCTACACTTTGTCAATCCAAAGCACCTGGGCCGGGAAATGACAGCCGCATTGGCAGCCACAGGGAAGAGGCCATAGGAAAGAAGATTGAGGCAAACTTGAAGGAATGTTGTTCAGGGCTGCAATCTGGAGGCTGGCAGCTTTATAAACCCCTCAGCCTTGCCTGTGGGCCAGGGAGGGTGCTGTTTTCCAGTCATCTGGGACAATGACATGTTGGACTCCCCTGATGTTGGCAGCATGTAGTCCCAGATGCCAGGCCCACCTGTTAAACCTGTCTCTTCCCATTGCCTGCAGCTAGATCTGCCAGCTGGGTCTTATCCTACCCCAAGGGTCAGCCTCGGAGTACTGCCCCTCCCAGCCTGCTTCCATTCAAGTTAACCAGTCAGTCTCTGTCTCCCCTCCCATTTATAACTTTTTCACACCCACTAAGTTCATTCTCCCCGTCTCTGTTCTGTTCCCCAGGCTCTGATGCCTGACAGGCAGCAACACCTGGGCTACCTTGCAGCCTGTTTCTAGTTCAGTTTGGCTAATGGGAGGCAATGGCAGGAGGTTAAAGAATAAGAGAAAAGGAGCTCCAGGTACTCCCTGTGCACTCTTCCTTCTACTTCCTTGCAAGACAGTCATTTATCATTAGTGACAGTGACACATCCTGAGAAATGATTAGATACCTTTGTCATTGTGCCAACATCATAGAGTGTATTTACGTGAAACTACAGGATATACCCTACTACTA